ATATTTGAGCACCAACTCAGCAAATTTTACTGTATTTTAATTTAATTTTAATCAAATGAATGCAGCCTTGGTGAGCATAAGAGACTGCTTTCAAAAACATAAACAAATCTTAATTATTACAAACTGGTGGTGCATAGCTACATAATTATATACATTTATATATAAATAAAAAGTAACAGAGAACCATACATTTTTGTACTTGGTTGTGACAGAACCACCAGGTGGCGACTGTGTAGGCCAACGGCGAAGCTTTGAACATGATGCAGGCTACTACAGGGTAAACAGAGCGTGACCAAACTCTGGAGGCTTCTGCACAATTTAAAATAATTCCTGTATCAGTAAAAGATATCATGTCTTTAAACATTTAACCATTGCCAGTAATTCATTGCCCGCTGTTTTCAGCCCAGGGGCCAGTTGCATGCTAGACTAGTTGTTTTTTTTTAAAGTTAGTCATCTCATTTTTTTCATTTCAAGAAACTGCTTTCAAAAACATAAACAAATCTTAATTATTACAAACTGGTGGTGCATAGCTACATAATTATATACATTTATATATAAATAAAAAGTAACAGAGAACCATACATTTTTGTACTTGGTTGTGACAGAACCACCAGGTGGCGACTGTGTAGGCCAACGGCGAAGCTTTGAACATGATGCAGGCTACTACAGGGTAAACAGAGCGTGACCAAACTCTGGAGGCTTCTGCACAATTTAAAATAATTTCTGTATCAGTAAAAGATATCATGTCTTTAAACATTTAACCATTGCCAGTAATTCATTGCCCGCTGTTTTCAGCCCAGGGGCCAGTTGCATGCTAGACTAGTTTTTTTTTTTTAAGTTAGTCATCTCATTTTTTTCTCTTCAAGACTGGCCATAATTTTTTTAATTCTGTTACAAAAATGATAGACTGGTCTAATTTGAATGTGAAAAGTAAGACCCCTTGTCTATTGCTAGTTGGTGAAACTAGTTCTTAAAGAGGTCCTATTATGCTCTTTTACAAAGTCTTGATTTTGTTTTGGGGGTGTACTAGAACAGGCTCTCATACTAGGTTGTATCTCATATTTTACATTATTACAACACCTCTCTCCCCAGTCTGGCATGAACAGCTCGAATAGTTCCTGTATCAAATTAAGGCCCGCCTTCTGAAATACGAAATGTGCTGTGATTGGTTAGCTGGGCCAGTGTGTGTTGTGATTGGCAAGCACTCGGTGCCTGGTCGGGAAATGTCATGCCGCTTACCATAGCCGCCTGCGAGCTTCAGTGTAAATATTGTGTCAAAATCAAATCAATTTGAGCGCGACTTAAACCCGGATGATTGTAACCACTCTAAGTTCGTCTGCCTTGACGCTAATGTCAGTCCTGTGCACTGAACCCTCTCTCCTCCACACGCCCCTTACTGCTGATTGGCTACAAGTTTGTTTTGCTAGTCGGCCCGAATCAGTTTTCTAAAGCGTTTTTGAAAAATCGCTTACCCCACCTTTAAGACACAGCCTTCACATAATGACTGTTTATGCAACTGGCCCCAGGTGTGCTAACAGAACCTGCAGTGACTCCGATGAAACGGTAGCCATTATAGCCATCATTTCTACCAGTGAGATTGCAGAAACTTTTAAGTCCGAGTTGCAAAACATCTTGGGGATAATTTATCTACTCCAGGAGTGAGCAAGCAACAGGCTGTAAAAACACAATTCTCTAACAGACTGACATGATGACTTTGGAAAATGTAAACATTTCTTGTTTATGATCCAAACATTTATATTTATTGTATTTGTACAAAATATTTTATATAGCATAACAACAACAACAATAATAATTGTTATTATTGATGTATCACAAACACACATGGAATGCTAAGTATTTTCTTAACACAATCAAGAGCTGATTGTTTAGTGAGGAGGGCAGCTGTCCAAGTCTGCCAGGGTCAGTTGTTATTCTGGGCTCTCCTGCCCCATATGTCTATATGAGCCATGCTGGGTCAAAACCTTACTGAGTGAAATGTCTGAATTAATGGTTATGTAATACCACTGGCAGCTATAGTTTTATATCAGCAGATTGTTCTATGTTATGGAGCTGGTTAAAGGTCAGTAAAGCTGTGTATGTTTGTCTTAGATTTTAAATGGATTTAAAACCATTTATTAGATTTAGTGTTTTACACTGCATCCTGTCCCAGTTGTGAAACACTTGTCAAAAAAGATATCTCTCTGTGAACTGCACTAATTTGACCATATCTTCTGAAAAGACAATGCTTTTTGGAAAATTGTATATTTTAAATGAATGTAATTTGGTTGTATAGTAAGTCTTTTTGACATTTTTGGAGAGTCCTTCATGACCACTAGGTGGCAGAGAAGACTTATATATGATCTGTTTAGAAACGTAGGTTCAAATTAAGCTATATTGAACATATATTTCATGCATATTTATTTCCATTTATTTCCTTTTTAAATAGATAAACATTAAATCAAAAGTACCACCAAAATAATTTATTGAATTCTATAGAAGTCAAACATATATCTTAATTCTTCTTACTATTATTATTAATTATATGTATTTTAAGTTTTTGTCTAAACTACTTTTATATAGAAAACATAAAAAATGCAATATAAATAAAATGGCCATTAAATGAGAATGAGTGGCAATTTGCTTAATAGCAGTGGGCAAACCAGCATACAAATATAGTTTAGTGAAAAATTCCAAAAGTAAATTATTAACCTCATGCCTAAAACCCTGGTCAACAGGGGCTTTATGTAACCTTACCATAGAGGCCTATATATAATTATGTATTGAATATATAATTTAGGCTCTTAGTGAATTTGCTTCTGTACTTCCAGTCTATTTGTATAGAAGTAACCTTTGATGGACAAATGGCTTTGACCAAATTATTTCTGAAGTGTCTATGATCAACTACAGACAAGAGAAAAGACAAACACTGGTGCAGACAATTACAATAATATAAAGCAGTATATTATGGCGAACATGGATTCTAAAACATGTTGCCGTGCCCGTACAGCTGACACACCAAATGACCTTAAATGAATAGTTCACAAAGAAAAAAAAAAAGTTCACCTGAAATTGTACTCACCCTCCGGGCATCCAAGATGTAGATGAGTTTGTTTGTTTATCAGAACAGATTTGGAGAAATTTAGCATTACATCACTTTCTCACCAGTGGATCCTCTGCAGAGAATGGGTGCCGTCAGAATGAGAGTCCAAACAGCTGATAAAAAACACTTCACTAGACGTTAACTGATTGACTGGAGTTGTGTGGATTACTTGTGGATTATTGTGATGTTTTTATCAGATGTTTGGACTCTTATTCTGATGGCACCCTTTCACTGCAGAGGATCCATTAGTGATCAAGTAACCATGAAGTAACAAACTTATCTACATCTTAATGGCCTTTTCATCTAATTTTCATGTTTGGTGAACTATTTCTTAAACCATGGCCTTCCCAACATAGCTTTCAATGCCATGGAAATCCAAACTGATATTATAATATTGAATGTGAAGAAAAAGATAAGTCATGGTGCAATATTTGTCTGTCAGTTCTTTTTGTTTACGTGCAGACTGTGCTGTCTCCCTCTGTGTTGCAGACACAACATTGACAGCCTGTAAAATATTTGTATATATTGTCACTGCTTCATCAATCAACAACCTTAAGATATATAAAATTATTTTAAGTTTAAATCAACCTACAAGAAATGGTTTCCTGGTTTAGAGTTAGACTCATTTACTATTGTCCCAGGATTCACTGTGCATGAGTTATTAATATGCTTCCACTGTTGGTTTTGTTTTGTTGCATGTTTTGTTGTTGGCTTGTTATGTCAGGATGAGTTTGTTCCACTGCTTAAAACGATCAGTTAGTTCATTATGTGTGTGTGTGTGTGTGTGTGTGTGTCTCTTGTTGGTGATGTGTTTTCTTAATGTAGAACAAAAACAACATTTACATAGAAATGCACATAAAGAAGATTTATAACTTGCTCACTGTTATAATCATAGTAGCATCAAAGGAAATAAACAGAAAAAAATATCCAGGGAATAACGTAATATCTTATAATATTTGTTTTTCCTCTTTTCTTTTCTTTTTTCTTTCAGAGTCTCAATATATTTAATTAGTTCAAATTTAAACAGTGTGATGTTCCATTGCATGTGATATTAATCGTTGCAATGATAGCAGATTTCGGTCACTGTTTTTGTAATTGAATATATAATATATATTGATATTGAATAAATATATATATATATATATATTATATTAATATTTTATTCATATCCTACAAGAAATGGTTTCCTGGTTTAGAGTTAGACTCATTTACTATTGTCCCAGGATTCACTGTGCATGAGTTATTAATATGCTTCCACTGTTGGTTTTGTTTTGTTGCATGTTTTGTTGTTGGCTTGTTATGTCAGGATGAGTTTGTTCCACTGCTTAAAACGATCAGTTAGTTCATTATGTGTGTGTGTGTGTGTGTGTGTGTGTCTCTTGTTGGTGATGTGTTTTCTTAATGTAGAACAAAAACAACATTTACATAGAAATGCACATAAAGAAGATTTATAACTTGCTCACTGTTATAATCATAGTAGCATCAAAGGAAATAAACAGAAAAAATATCCAGGGAATAACGTAATATCTTATAATATTTGTTTTTCCTCTTTTCTTTTCTTTTTTCTTTCAGAGTCTCAATATATTTAATTAGTTCAAATTTAAACAGTGTGATGTTCCATTGCATGTGATATTAATCGTTGCAATGATAGCAGATTTCGGTCACTGTTTTTGTAATTGAATATATAATATATATTGATATTGAATAAATATATATATATTTTTTTTATATTAATATTTTATTCATATTACACAATTACACTGTTAATTAAAATAGTTTTTTGAACGAATTGGCTATTCCTAATGGATAATACAGAGAGGAAATGATCGTGGCGCGCTCATAACACCTGTAGGCTGAAAGGGGCGTGGCTTCAGCACACATCTAGACTTGCGAGGGGATTCGCACTCAGGTGACAGACGCGATTCGTACCGTCCAACAACAGCCAAAAACTTCAGTTGTGAGTGAAAATGCTGGCGTAACTATCCGAAGAGAGTTTATTTAGAAGAAAGAACCACCAAAGCTTTCCAAAGAGCCCTTCTCCAAATGCCGTCCAGTGCGCGGATGAGAGAAGAGGAGGGAATGGGATTAATTTACAAATTGGAGTCTAGTTCTTCTGTCGAGGTTGAGTGAATTGATATACTCAAAACTAAATATTAATTTTAACAACAGAGGGAAGGCAGAAGACAGCTCGGGGCAGAATAAGAAGAGCTCGGAGGGACTCACTGGATGCTGTATGAGTTGTCGCCCGAGCGGTGGCTTGATGAGGGGCGATGGAGATGCTGATGGACTGGAGACCTCCAACATTTCTGCTTCTCACCTTGCTGTGGGTGCTTCCAGGTAAGAGAAATGCTAACTCTGTGCAATAGAAATACTGCATTCTCAAAATTCATATAGCCTAGGCAGCGTGTGTTGTTGTGTTGAGAGCACTGTGAGAGTTCAAAGGGACTGTATCATAAGTAAAGTCTCAAAAGAAATACTTTTCTATGTTTTGTTTATCTTAGATGATACATTCATCTTATACAATTAGAGAACTGTTTGATATTGTAGTTAAATGTGTTAGCATTCTATCAAAGTTGATGGAGAGACTCAATAATAATTGAATCAATAAGAGAATCAATAATAATCAAATAGCAACACCTGTAGACGTCCTCATAATATGTTTGTAGTTTGTAGTAAAATATTATTTTAGAAACGGATATTTACTCCTTACCAACAGATATATGTTATCCTGATGAACAGCCATTGCTCTTCTTTGCTTAATGGGAAGTCATCTCTTACTGACTTGAATCCTGATTTTCCCTTATAGTAAATCAGGTGGTAAAATGAAGATTGACACAATTTGTAGCCACCATCTGAAAGTAGTGACAGTGTATTCAGGTGCCGTGATATGACCATTGTCCTGACTAATCTCCAACAAGCCTCAAGTCAGAGGAGCTTGTAATCCGTTGAATTACTCTGGCATTTTTACAAGCAAGAACAAGGTACGAATTCACTCTCAGTGCTGGCCGACAAGATGAAACTGTGCCATTGTGCTGCAGTTTTTCCTTCCTTGAGCTTCAAAACTCACAATTCATTGACAAAGTAGAATATAATAAAATTGCATTCGCATGCCCTCATAGCCTCTTGGATGTTTTGAAATGTAGTGAGTCTTATTAAACAGGTAGTGGTTGCTTTGTCAGGGTTTTACTCTGTGTTTCCAACATGGCAAGTTGCTGATGTGGTGGTGTTTTCTGTACCTCCAGGGAGGCACCATTATTGCATTATATGGAGAGTGTGCCATATAATGGGGAAACTGCCAGATGACATTGCTGTAGCCTGCAAACATTTAGTTGTTTTGTTTGACCTATCTTAAGTGACCCCGAAAAGATATTGCCACCATACATGCCGCCTTGCAAAATTACTACATTGCAGTTAGGTTTTTTTTTGTGGTTGCCTGTACTGAAATGATTTAATTTTTTGTGAAACATTAAAGGACTAGTTCACCCAGAAATGAAAATTATTTAGTAATTTACTCACCCATAAGTCTTTGATAAATCTTCGAAACACAAATTAAGATAGTTTTAAAGAATTCTGAGCGATTTCTGTCCCTCCATTGAAAGTTCAGGTAAGATATTCAGTAGGGCTGCACGATTATGACAAAAAAAATCACAATTGTCAATTATTCCCTTTAAACTGTAATTGACATTATTAATTATGATTATCACAATTTCCATTGAATGATGTTTATACCAGTTTGAAGCAACTGCATGCCATATTTTTTATATGAAAATAAACAAGCTGAAAAAACTGAAAAAGTTATTGCTTTCTATGGTATTAAGCCTCAAATGTCAACTATACATTGGATTGGTTTCTTCTTTAAATAAATAAAGTAAAAATGCTTAAGATAACCTGCAGAAAGAAAAAAACACATCTTAAGCACACAGAATAACATAAGTGGACTATGATCGATTAATTGCCGCTTTGAACGATTACGTAATTGTGGCATCTGTAATTGTACTTGCGATTAAAAATTTTATTAATTGCGCAGCCCTAGTACTCAGGTAAGATCCAAAGAGGTTATAAAGTACATGTAAATATAATCCATATGAATCAAGTGGTTTAATCTAAGTCAGTGGTTCTCAATTCCAGTCCTTTCGTCCCACCGCTCTGCATATTTTGCATCTCTTATGCTTTCTATGGTATTAAGCCTCAAATGTCAACTATACATTGGATTGGTTTCTTCTTTAAATAAATAAAGTAAAAATGCTTACGATAACCTGCAGAAAGAAAAAAACACATCTTAAGCACACAGAATAACATAAGTGGACTATGATCGATTAATTGCCGCTTTGAACGATTACGTAATTGTGGCATCTGTAATTGTACTTGCGATTAAAAATTGTATTAATTGCGCAGCCCTAGTACTCAGGTAAGATCCAAAGAGGTTATAAAGTCCATGTAAATATAATCCATATGAATCAAGTGGTTTAATCTAAGTCAGTGGTTCTCAATTCCAGTCCTTTCGTCCCACCGCTCTGCATATTTTGCATCTCTTGTTTAACACAGCTGATTCAGATAACCAGCTCGTTAGAAGAGAGCTCCATGCATGAACTGTGTTCCGATTGACAGGGTCCCACAGTGTTTATTGCTCCCTACTCCCTGAACACAGGAAATCCATTGAAGTTTACTTCACTTCAGAACATTCGTTCATGGATTTGCACTATGCCACGGCCTGCAGCATCTTCACACAGACTAAACTTAAGTGTGAAGTGTGACATAATATAACTCTGCAAATAAATACAATTTAAATTCACATCTCGCACACTTTAATGCCCTTTGAATGGAACATACATGCGCTCCCTTCAAGATGGAATCATGGCGGAATATCCTGTGATATCCACTTTGCAGGGCACTTATGGTCGAACAGAACAAATGTCTGAAGTGATAAGAGATACATACAAAATGTGTAGAGCGGTGGTACACGAGGACTGGAATTGAGAACCACTGATCTAAGTAATGTGAAGCGATATGATTGGTTTATATGATTTACAGTTTTAATGTCTATTCAACCTTTTATTCACATATAAACACACAAACATAGAGCACATTATGTACAGTTTGGTAAACATGGAAGATCCGTCACATGCTAGAACAACCTCATTGGTTTTCACACATCACGCACCCACGTTTGAGCTTCCGTGTTTACCATATTTGATGGGCTCTATGTATGTGTGTTGATCATTGCTTAGATGTAAATAAAAGCTTAAATTATATATGTTCATCATATAAAGCAATCGTATATCACAAGACTTTAAGTAAACCACTGGATTCATATAAATTATTTTTATGATGACTTGATGACCTTTATGGATCTTTAAGTTTTGGTTTCCTGGACTTTAAATGGAGGGACAGAAAACACTCAAATTTCATTAAAATATATATATAAATATGTGTTTTGAAGATGAACCAAAGTCTTCACGGTTGTAAATGAGAGAATATTTGGGTAAATTATCCCTTTAAGTCTTGAAGGTGGTCTGAAGGTTACGTTCTGTATGTAGACATTAAATTTAGACACAACCCCTTATTTATTATTAACAATGAAACATCAGTTTGGCTTATTAATTCCTGCTGTGAACTAAAACTTTCTGAAAATGAAAATGCCCAGGATTTAAATGCGCTTTTTAATCCATACCAGCTTAAATACACTCCATACCGATTTAAAGGAAAAGCCCCACAGGAGATGGCTTAAGTCCCTTGATCAAGTATTCAGTTGTGGTCACTGTGACTCAGGGCTACACCTTCTTGTGTTCCTACAACCTTTGTGCAAATAGTGCAGATCCTTTCCTAGAATGTACAAGATCAATTGTGATTGTACTTTAGAAAAGATAATAATAAGTCTAACATTTAGTACTCTGCAAAATTGTCATCTTTAGCAATCAAAATCTAATCATATAATTGGTTTCTCCAGGCAAAAAACCACCTGTAGCAAATTGTGGCATGTTTAAACAAACTGTTTCATCCTTGTGAAAAGCCGGAGGTGGATAATCAATGGCTGTAATTGAGTGCGGATCACTGGGCCTTCACAACAGAGATCATTAGAAATGATAATGCTCACCAGAGGCAATTATGTTTGCCCCCTGCACAGCAAAGAACATTCAATACTGGCAAAAAAAATCCATGTTTCAATTCATTAACCCTGCCACCGTTCTATTGTTGAAATCAATCTTTTGATTTGTACTGGTACAGATTATTATAAAATAGGGTTGGGCATAAATCTTACATGATGGTATAATATCACACTAACAGTACAGTATACTGTATATCATGGTATAATTTGGTAATAAATGGTATTTCAATTTAAATAACCTAGTGGTAATGCCTACACTGAAAAAATGGTGTAGTATTTCAGTATTTTCACTCAAAAATTGATAGTAAATTTCACAAATAATTACAAAGAAACAAGAAGTTACATTGAATTACACATAAAAATTTTAATTAGGAGGACTGAAATCGTATTTTCTTGTAAAAAGTACTCCATCTCATATCTTTGTTTCATTTAAAATTGTAAAAGTAATTTGGATGATGAACAAATGGATGATAACAAATGAACAAATGGATGCAAACTAAAGCAGATTATTCATAACAAATAAATGAATGTCTGACAGTGCAAAAACAACTTCATATTATGCAACATTTGAGTTAAAACAAAGATTTAAAATTGTAACCCTAGTGTTATAAAATTAGTTCTGACTCTAAATACTGATTAGATGAGCCACAACCGCACAACAGTTGAATTCTGTATTAACATGTTGCACTATTGCTCTAATTTGTGTTGTGCCTAATAACATTTCATGTTAACATTTGCGGGACACGTTCCACCATGTATTTTTGCATTACTCTTTTGTTGCTTTCACATGTGATAATGTAAATTTGTCCTGCCCACTAGCTGTGCAAATATACATATGATGATATAAATGATAAAGCAAATCTCTGCTGGATGACAAATTTCTGCTGCTATACTACCCATCCCTATTTACATATATCTTGAATTCACTATATGGTATATCTGTATCTCTATATGTGCAGTCCTTATTAGCTCCAGCCAGGACTTACCAGGAAACTATACGGCTGACAACCATTAAGCTCACATTCATCTGTCAAGAAATATCCAGAGAGATCTGAGACAGATTCAGCTCTCATTAATGCTTTTGAAGAGACACGGCATCTCATGTAAGTGCTGCTATATCACACCTGCAGCCCCATTGCCCTCCTCCTCTCTCTGCCACCTGCGGGAAGTAGTGCAGTGAAAGGACAGACACCCCTACCATAGAGTTTTCTCAACATGATTCTTAAATAAT